ATTATTTTAATAAAAATATATATTTACAACATTGTTCATTTTTTTTTTTACAATGTTTGCTTTTTCCTTTCAGGTGTAGTTCCCATAAAATTCCCACCATCAATTTTCCCCATGCAACATCACCATAATCCCTTCACTGTTTTGATTCCTCTCCCTCACCTTCCCCTGCAGAATGTCTCTGATTTATAGTTACTAATTTTGTTTACTTATTTATTATCATTTTTTCTTGATCTCTTATTTTTTCCCTTATATTTCTCCTATAAGTGAAACCATCCAATATTTTTCAGCTTTCTTCCCAGCTACATCCATGTTGCTGAGAATGGCATCTATTTATCTTTTTTGATTGCTGAATAGTATTCCATTATATATATATCAGATCTTCTTGATTCAGTCATTTATTTTTGGGCATTTGCATTGTTTACAGTCTTACCTATTTTAAATAATGTTCTTTCAATAAATAGTTAGATGTCTTCTTACACTATGTTCAATAATGGAACATTTGTTATTTCTGTGTTTACAATAGAACCCCATTACTGTGTCTCATCCTTAGTTATAAGTAAGAGAAATAATTCTGAGAGCAGCTCACCGACTTGTGTTTGTATAAATCGCTTTGGAGCTTCGAGGTTTGTCTAGAGATGTGATGTCTCCAAAAGGGTTGTCAATATCATCAGCATTTGCAGATTGCACATAACCACTGTTGGAGGTAGGGGAAGAACAGTAAATGTTAGTTTTTAAAAATAAATAAGTGAACTTGTTCTAACTTCCAAAGGAAATCTTACTTTCTAAAATATATCAAAAAGTTAAAATGTGAAATATTAACTATGATGATGATGATTTGCTGAAAAAAAGGAAATTATTCTTTTGAGTTCAAGTGAGTTGCTGGGTTCTTGTGATTTTAAGTTTAGACCAGATAAAAGTAACGGCTAACCTGTATTTTTGAGAAGAGAAATAACTATTACTGTAGCCCTGGTGCAAAATTTTCACTGGAGTCTGGGGGTGGCCTGCAGCATTCAGGGAGATTAGTATAGTGCTCATGTGGAGATGAAACTTTGGCTAAGTGACTAAGGATGCTAGCCAACCAGTGAGATGCCTAGGGGAGCCTGTCAAAAGACCTATTGGCTGTGTGGGCATGTATCAGAGAGTTCTATTGGCAACATTAATGAGGGTGGATGCAAAGGGCAAAACCCCACAATTTCCTTTCACTTACTTTGCACCATAGTAAATCAAATGTTTATGTTCCCTTGGTTATGTGCTATAATCAACTGTTTATGTTCCCTTAAAATTTGTATCTTGGAATTCCAATGCCCAAACGTTATGGTTTTTGGAGGTGGGTGGTGGTTAGGTCATGAGGGTGTATCCCTTATGAATGGGATTAATACTCTTATAAGAGACCCCACAGAGCTCCCTTGACCTTCCACCAGCTGAAGACATGAGGACCCAGAGGATCCTCTCAACAGAGCTGTCTTCCTGATCTTGAATTTGTAGCCTCTAGCACTGTAAGAAGTAATTGCATGGTATTCATACACTTTGTTATAGAGATTACAGCACAAAGTTATCTTCACTCTAAAGCAAAGAATACTCCAAATGATAGATAATTATCATCTTTGTCATCCCTGGAAAACCAAACAAATTTAGAAAAGTGGAAGTTTGCATTTCCTACACTTCACTATCAATGTGCCCTTCATATCTTCCATACCAAATATAGTTGTTTTTTTTTGGATTGACAATACTCATTATTAGTAGCACCCAAAGTATTTTATCAAATAAGATTTGGGAAAACAGAAAACTACTGCTTCCCCTTTCTTTCATCAAAATCTCCAACAAACCTTTGATGAAATATCCTGTGTTAGAAAAACATTGGGAATAATTTTTAATTTCCCCTTATCTTAAAAAGTTATCTTAAAGTAACATTCAAATTGTTTTTAAAAGTAATCTTAAAAAGTGAATTTATAAAAATGAATAAGTTGAAAGCAACTATAATTTATATGTAAATTTTATAAATATTAAGGAATATTACTTACGTATAGAGTGGGATATATTTGCTTCTAGAACTTGGGCTCACACTTAGAAGAAAAGAAAATATATGAAGTTAAGTTACTGATATTAACTTAATTAAATATTAAATAACAAGTGTTATTATTATTAAAACTTCTTCTATTATTAAAAGAAGTCTTCAGAGATACCTCATAAGAATTGTTGTCCAAAGTTCGCAATTTTAAACTAAAATTATTTTAAAATGTAGTTTTTAAATGAAAATAAAAACCAGAAGAATGGCCCTCCCTGGTGGCGCAGTGGGTTAAAGCACAGAACTAAGAAGCTAAAGTCACTTCAGCATGGGTTTGATCCCCAACCCAGAGGTGACCCAGGTGGCACAGCAGACCTCTCCTGACCCGCCCGCTGCTCCCCTCAGCAGTGTACTTCATTGATCTGCCTGTTCTGCTCCCCACTCTGCCTCTGGTGAATCCTCTCACCACCCCTGTACCTCTGGCTTGTCCCCCTCCCCGTATGCATAAATAAATAAACCTTAAAAAAAAAGAAGACATTAACAAATTAACTACAGATTTCTATTGACTTATTCTTTGTTTACTCTTATGATTTAAGTTTGTCACTCTCTTTCTTCATTTTTTATTTTGCTGTAGAATTCCTTAATGATAATACTTGAAATATTTGCCAGTGATTAACCTCTCATTTTATTAGTTAAATTGTTTATGTTTGGGTGGCTCTTACTTATCATCTAGTCTAATCTATGACAGAGATAAACTGGGTTCAGCACAAATAAATTGAATAACCTACACAAGATTGCAAATACTCAGCATAAAATATTTTTTTTATTTTATAACAGTTTATTTTTATTTTTTTTATTTTATAACAGTTTATTTTTATTTTTTATCATTTTGTACATTTTTTTTCCCATCTCAATTGTAGTCCCCGCGGGTTTCCCATCACCAAGTCACCCGTGTGCCATCACCATAATCCCATGCACTCCCTCCTCCCCCCACCCCCGTTTTTGATCCCATTTCCCACTCCACCCCTGCAAAATGTCTCTGGTATATGATTGTTCATTATTCTTGTTATTTTCTCGCCTGGTCCACTATACTCCTGCTTTGAGTGAAACCATCCGATATTTTTCTTTCTCTTTCTGGCTTATCTCACTAAGCACGATCTTTTCCAGCTCCATCCAAGTTGCTGCAAAAGACATGTGTTTCTCTTTTTTGGTTGCTGAGTAATATTCCATTGTATATATGTAGCACATCATTTTAATCCAGTCATCTACTTTTGGGCATTTGGACTGCTTCCATGCTTTTCCAATTGTAAATAAAGCAGCAATAAACATGGGGGTGCAGGTATCTTTTTCAATCAGTGTTTTTATGTCTTTTGTGTAGATACCTAGGGGTGGGATTGCTAGGTCATAGGGAAGCCCCGTGTTTAGCAGTTTGAGGAACTTCCAAACAGTTTTCCATAGTGGTTGTACTAGTTTTCAGCATAAAATAATTTTATATTTTTCTTCTCTGGCCCTAGAATCAGTCATTTCTCTAAAGAGCTAATGATTTCTTTTACTGGAGTGAACTTTTTGTTATTTTATCACACAATATGTAAGTTAAAAGGTGCCAATAAAATTTTTCATTAGCACACATAAGTTTGAGTCAGTAAAAATAAATTATCTTATTATTTTAAAAGATTTTTGAATGGTTTTATCAATAATTTCAATTTTCTGTGTTTATAAGGATCTTATATTTTTTAATTAATCTTATTGAAGTAATTTTATTTAAATTATCACCGTTCAATTCATGCAGTGTAGTATAATAGTTATGTTGGGGCTTTTACTCTTTTTGTGAAATAATTTTTAAAAAGTAATCTCAGGTCCTCCCTGGTGGCGCAGCGGGTTAAAGCACAGCACTAAGAAGCTAAAGCCACTACTGCATGAGTTCGATTCCTGCCTGCCCCCGAGGTGACCACATGGTGCCACAGAACTCTCCTGACCTGCCCTCTGCTCCCCTCAGCAGTGTACTTCATCTATCTGCCTGTTCTGCTCCCCACTCTGTCTCTGGTGAAGTCTCTCACTGCCCCTGAGCCTCTGGCCTGTACCCCAGTTCTGCATGTACAAATAAATAAATCTTAAAAAAAAAAATCTCAAAAATTTTCATATTTCATTTATATATTCACAGATAACAATATGGGGAATATATTTATTTATTAGTTAGTATTTATTGAGATAATGCTGATTTACATCACAGTGTATGTCTTAGGGATGTAGGTTTACACCTCTATAATCATGTTTTTCCCCACAGTCATCCCTGAAGTCTCAGTTAATTCTCCACTAGACCACCCTCTTTCTCCAATTTGCTCCCACCCCAACACATCCCTCTCTAGTAACTTTAGACATATTCCAATGCATTCATTTCCCTCCTTGTGGCGCACTCTCTGCCAACAGAGAGATGCCACGATATATCTTCTTCTGGACCCTTTATTCTTCTCCCTCACACGCCTGCCTCCTGCCTGCTTCTCTCTCCCCCTGCTTGCTTGCTTGCTTGCTTGCTTGCTTCTCTCTCTCTCTCTAGCTTTCCTCCTCCCTACTACCCCCTCCAGAGTCCGTTATGGCAGTTGCTTAAATAGCATTCATTGACCAATCAGAACACTGCTCACGTGTACATTGGCCAATCAGAGCACTGCTCACGTGTACAACAGGCGGGTTTGGCTGCTGAATCATGGGGCTGGGGTCCCAGGCACCCTGACACCTCCTATTTTCCCTCCTCTCACTCATCTTCTCCTTCCCCTCCTGGATGCCTCAGATCAGCTTTCAATGTCTTTGTCTCACATTTTGTTTGGTTTTACTATATTCTACATATAAATGAAAACCATCCAATATGTAGCTTCTCATTCTGACTTCACTTAGTATATCCATCTCCATCCACGTTGCCCCAAATAGCATAAGTTTTTCTTTTTTGAGACCTGAGTCGTTTCCATTGTGTTTATGTACTGCATCTTCCTGATCTATCCATCTGTATTGGGGCATTTAGGTTGTTTCCATAACCTGTCTATTGTAAATAATGCTGCAATAAAGATAGGGGTGCAAGTTTCATTTAAAATTAGTGCTTATATGTTCTTTGAGTAGATTCTTAGGAGTGGAATAGCAGGGTTGTATGGTAGGTCTATTTTTAGTGTTTTGAGGAAAACCCACACAGTCTACCATAAAGGCTGGACCAGTTTACATTACCACCAGCAATGTTAGAGAGTTCCTTTTTCTGCACATATTTACCAGAACATGGTTGTTTCATTTTTTTTCATGTTAATATGGGCCTCATAATAAGTGATGATGAACATATTTCACATGCCTATTCACCATTTGCATTTCTTCTTTGGAGAAGTCTTTATTTATCTTTACTGGTCATGTATGACTGGGTTGCTTAATTTGCTGATTTTGAGTTGTGTGAGCTCTGTGTAGTTCTTTGATATCAGTCCCTTATCAGATGTGTGGTATGCAAATATTTTGTCCCATTCAGTATGTTGTCTCTTCATTTTGGTTGCTGTATATTTTGCTGTGTAGAAAACTTTTACCTTGATGTAGCCCCAGCTATTTATATTCTTCTTTTTTCCCCTTACTTCTGGAGATAAATCCTCAGTAATATTTCTGAAGTTTATGTAATGATTGTCTTTGCTTGCTTCTATATATTTAATGGTTTCATGTGCTACATCCAAGTATTTTATCCATTGTGAGTTGACTTTCATTTGTGGTTAAAAAAAATAGTCTAATTTCATTCTTTCACATGACAATCTAATTTTTCCAGCACCATTTATTGAAGAGATTTTCCTTGTTCTCAGTTGTAGCATGTTGGATATATGCTTTGCTCTTTTGCCATATATTAGTTAACAATATTTTGTGGTTTTATTCTGTGACTTTCAATTATGTTTCATTTGGCTGTGTGTCTGCTTTTTTTCCAGTACCATGCTATTTTAATTATTATGGTTTTGTAGTATAGTTTGAAATCTGGATGTATAATACTCATTCTTCCTATTTTTAGTCAGGAGAGTTGGCTAGTCAGGACTTTTGTTGTTCCAAATTAATTTATTTGAAACATGCCATTGAGATTTTTATTGGAATTTCATTGAAACTGTATTACTTTGGGTATGATGGCCATTAGATTGGAATAAGCATTACAAAATCATTTTAGCTACAAAAAATAATCAGTTACTGATGAGGATTACTATAATCTCAAGTGGCAGAATGGATGAAGCATATCTCTGGAGTCTCTCAGTTAAGGCTATTAATCCCAATTTTGTAGCCTTCACTTGAGCACTAATCATTTCCCAAGGGCTCTGGCCTTCTAACACCATTACCCTTGAAGGTTAAAGTTTTAAAAAATGAATTTGTGGGGGCATAAATATTCATCTGTACACATCAATGCAATATAATTATAATTGCATACATTTTTTCATTTATTTCAGAATATATATATATATACATACATTTATTTTCTCTATTTTAGTTATAATGATATTTCTGAATATGATCTTTAGCGTGCTTGTCTCCTTTGCATTGTCTTTCTTACCTTCTCCAAATTGATGCACCTCACTGTCCTGAGTGATGCTACTTGTTCACTTAAAGCCTCCTCACTGACTTCATTTTTGTAACTTGTGAAAGAGGTAACCATTGGTTTGGAACACTGTATAATGACTTAGGGGATTAGCTCCACACCTCTGATGTACATACATTTACCACCAGAGCACCATCTACTATTTATGTGACACTCTGCCTTTGTTTTTAACTCCCACTCTCAGTTGTAGCATTTTGGATTCTGCAAGCTTTTCTGAACTTTATTGTGTGTCTGCTAATACTAACAGGCCTATCCAGCCTCCATTTTGTTCTGTATTCCAAAAGCAAAGTCGGAACTGCCCAGTCATAGAAGCCCACCTTACAAGATGCCTTTCAAATTAATTAAGAAAGCCAAGCTGGATCACCCTGGGAAAGATATGTATAAAGGGGTATGACTGGGAAAGCCCTGGGGGCTTGTGACAGACGCATAAACATACTTTTGACTTACACATTATGAGGTACGACTGGGAA